AGCTGCTGGTCCTGCTCTGGGCACACAGACAACATCTTCCTCCACCCTGGGGCAATCATCAGGTCCCTTAAATCTGCTCACTTCCGGGCTGAACAGCTCCAGGCCCAGAACTCTTTCTCTGGCTAGAGCCAAAGGGAGCAAAGGGAAGAGGCAGGAGCTGAGGTGTCTGCCCCAGAGCCAGTAGCATAGTGAGCCTGGGGCTCATTCAGAACCCACCTGTGCACTTTGGGTTAGCAGCTGCCTTAGAGGTCTGGGGTGAGGAGAGGAGCCCTAGGAGCCCCTCTCCGGGCCCTTCCTGCCTCCAGTGCCTCTTCATCTTCTCCGGCTGCCTGCCCTGATGGAGGGAGTAGTTTCTGAGAACCAAGTCTGGGCCTTCTTGTCTGCTTCGTGACCTGCCCTCACCCAAGAGCTTTCTTACTGCCTGGGCGTGTGGTGAGCTCTGTGTCATCAGAGGGATGTGAGCAGAGGCTGGGGGAGCACTTCTTGGGGGGGTGAACTACCTTTGACTGCAAGTCTGGGGTTCTTCGTCTGACTGGCAGTGTGGCCATGACTGTGCCCTCTGGTTATGGTGGAGCCTCACAGAACCTGGAGCTAGACCACAAATGAGTATTATTACCCCCTCGTAAAAGCAGACTAAGTATATGTGCTGTCACTCGAACGTAGCTCCAACACACACGCTTAAGTGCTACCTAAGTGTCTTGTCATCTCCACATATGTATAATCTGTTTTCCTGCTCAGCATTTTGGCCTGATTTAGGGGCCTGGTAGATTCTGGCTACTATAAAGTCATCCTATCCTAATAATTTGAAAATGTACTGTGGAATTATGGCATGTCCAAGCTGAAAGGCAGCAGAAGAAATCATCGCTTCAACCCCCTCATTGTCTAGATAGGCATCCCCTAGCCCCAGAGGGGACATGACTTGTCCAAGTTGACACAGCCAGCCAGCAGCCACGCCCCCGGTTTCTGATTACAAGACCAGAGTATTTGTTTATTTGTTGGAAAACACATACCATATAGTAAGTGAAAGTGGTCTGTATTTATTCCTATAAAATGAACAAAAATAAATATAAAAGGATAAACCTCCCTGCTGCAAGGCTGTGGGGATCCTCCAGCAGCCTTTAATTTTGCAGGGCTATCTGGTAGCCTGTTACAAGAGTCCAGGAAAATGATTCAAACTGCCCTTTGCCCCTAGACTTCTTCCTTTGAGGACTTTACCTTAAGGAAATAACAATAGAGGAAGATGAATGCAGTGCTGTTATTTATAACAAGTTTTCATGTAGTGACGCTTTTGGTGTTTTATCTGAGGTTTAATAAGTATTTCATTTGAAAAGTGCAGCTTAAAAAATAGTAGCATTAAAGCTTCCATTGCTGGGATCGGGCTGCTATAAAAGCAGTGTGGTCCAGAGGAAAGCTCACGACTCAAGTCAGTAGGCGTTAGGTGTACATTCCAGGATGAACTCTACATGTACCCCACAGTGTGACCTTGGCTCAGTCCCTTTCCTTTCTCTCTCTCTTTCTTTCTTAAGATTTTATTAATTAAAAATTTATTTGAGAGAGAGAGCGAGCCCCCGAGCACGAGTCAGGGGGCAGAGGGAGAGGGAGAAGCAGACCTCACGCATTTCTTCATCCCAGGACTCTGGGATCATGACCTGAGCCGAAGGTGCATGCCCAACTTAGCCACCCAGGTGCCCCCCCTTTCCTTTTCTGACCTCACTTTCCCCGTCTGTGAAATGGCATAGAGTCAGTGATTGCTGAATTTCTTTCAGCTCTGACAACCCGCCTTAGGGACCTAACAGATCTTTGTAACTGAAGCCTGTGTTCGAACAGTGTACATGGGGATAACCAAAGAATGTTCTATCTAGCCTTCCTCCCCCATCATTAAATGAATCCTCTTAGGGGACTGCGGCTAGTCTTTTTGCCTTGGAAGGGGCTTTATTCAGCTTTTGACTTTTGTTAGTTCCAGATGGCCAGAAGCTGCATTTTTGTACAGGGGAGTGTGGCTTTGTTTCTATTTTTCTTTGCCAGATACCAGGGGACAGAGATTTTTCAGGAAGACCAGAAAATAGTGCAGCAGGATCTTCTGTTTGTTATTTTAAGGCTATAGGCTGTTCCTTGCCTCCTTCAGACCAGACTAGAGGTGCTTTGCAATCACACCTAGTATGAAGGGCCAGGAAGAGGTGGCTTGCCTTCTGAGAACAAACATTTATTGGGCAGCTACTGTGTACGAGGCCTTGAGGTGCCTCCTAGGGTCCTGCAGGTTGACATGAGAAATATATTAGGTTAAACTGTGGGAAATGGCCAATATCTGACCGTTCTTGACTTACAAGAAATAGCAGTTTTGTTCAGTTCAGTCTGAATGGAAAAAGATAAAATTAAAGAGCCCTATGCTCCCTACCATAATTGAGAGATTGGCAGGGTGCAGTGGAGACTAGGAAAGTGTGATTATAAGCTTGGAAAAGTCAAAGAGGAAGGGCATGGGATCCTCACCTTGAAAAATCAGTAATACTAATAAAATAGTAATGACAGTATTTCCCACCTGCCTGATTCTGTCCTAAGTGCTTTACATTTATTCGTTTAGTCATTTAGCTGTTCTTTGATTGAACAGCTATATTGTGCTCGGCATTTCCTGGGGTGGAGGCAGCAGTCTTGACAGTAAATAAAGTAGACCCCCAGAATCTGTCCTAAAGAAATGTCCAATCTGATAGGGAAGAAAAGACAATAAACAGTAAGTAAAGGAAAATGGTGATAAATGGGGTGGAACAAATAAAACACGGGAGTTACATTCCAGGCAAGTGAAGGGGAGTGGAAGGACGGGGGGTTGCAGTTTTAAATTGGGTGGTTGGGGGATCATTGTGAAGGAGACTTTTGGGCAAAGTCTTGAAGGAGGTGAGGAAGGTTGCTGGGCTGGTTTCTGGGGAAGAGCCATCCAGATGGAGGAAACAGCCAGCGCAAAAGGCCTGGGGTAGGACCATGCCTGGCATGTTCACGGAAGAGCAGGCGAGAACAGAGTGACAGAGAAGGCAGGGGAGATGGGTAAGAGGTGCCACTGGTGGTCAGATTTTGGACCCTTCCCTGTGCATCATTGTGAGGGGCGTACTCTTTTTTTTCCCCCTTTTTAACTAGACTTCATGCCACACTTGAGACTCGGACTCATGACCCAAGATCAAGAGTTGTGTACTCTACTGACGGAGCCAGCCAGGTGCCCCGAGGAGGGGGAACTCTTTTTACTTCTCTTTTTCAGTTAAAAAAACAAAGATACAGAGACATTAGGTAGCTTGTTGAGATGAGACGCTGTCTCATAGAGGACCCAGGGCCTCTAGTAGAGGGCAGTGAGGAGTCGTGGGACACAGCCAGGGCATGGCCAGATCTGATGTCTGTGTGTCTTCTGGGTTGCAGAGAGAAGGTTATGGAAATAATCCAGGCTGGGGGGATTAGTTGGACCTAGACAGTGACCCAGTGGATGTAGGTGCTGGGAATGAGGATGGGGGGTCCAGGCCAGGTGAGCACAAGGAGGAAGAGGAGGAAACCAGGCTGGTCTTAGCTTATTTATTGAACAAACACTTAACAGCACTTCTGCTCTAGGCAACCATCTAAGATTTGACATACATTAACCCATTCAGTCCTCAAAGCATGGTGGAAGATAGATACTCTCATTGTTATTGCTACTTTTTAAGAAAAATGGGTGTATTCTATTATATGTAAGTTATATCTCAATAAAGTTAATTTACAGGGAAAGTATTTTTTTTATATTATAAATACTTGATGGTAATGGGGAATTTAGAAAAAAAGGAAAACAGAAAATAAATTATCTGTATCTTCTCTTTTCATCTCAGGTAATCAATATAAATATTTTGGCATATTTACTTCATCTTTTTTCAACTATTCTCCCCATTTTTTTTAAAGCTTTTATTTACTTATTTGAGAGAGAGAGGGAACACAAGCAGGAGGAATGGCAAACAGAGGGAGAGGGAGAAGCAGGCTCCTGCTGAACAAGGAGCCTGATGCGGGGCTCGATCCCAAAACCCTGAGATCATGACCTGGGCTGAAGGCAGCCAGCCACTTAACCAACTGAGCCTCCCAGGCACCCTGTTCTCCCCATTTCACAGATGAGGGACACTAGGGCTCTAAGAGTTTGGGCCGTTTGCACAGGGTCAGCCACCTGAAGCCATGTCATCAGGCTCTAGTCTCCAGGGTCTCCATCACTGTGCTCTGCTACCTGGAATGTCAGTTGGTGGGTTCCCGTGAGCCACACCCCCACACTCACCCCGCCCCAGCATCAGCTCACACATAAGGAAAGCGAGGCTCAGAGAAAGGTAGGGCCATGTGGAGCATCTCTCACCTAGTTGGGAGCAGATAGGTGAGGTCTCATTCTGACAAGAAATAGGATGCTGAGAACTTGTGCAGGGTTGATGTGGCAGCTGCTTTTGGTCTGGCCTTGAGCCCAGAGTTTGCAGGGGGCTGGCAAGTGGCGTGACCCCACCCACAGGCAGTGCCCAGGACTGCAGGGCTGGGCTGTCTGCCGGGCCGGGCTGCCGGGGCAGGCCTGGGTTCCCTGAGCTCAGGAGTCTCAGCCCTCCCGTGGGCCCGGGGTGGGAGGTGGCCAGGAGACAGGGCGTGAGAGTTTGGGGCCCTGCCAGGCCTGCAGGCCCCCTGGGAGTTGTCTCTTGTACTCTGACTGTGCATTTATTTCTGGCTCTGGTGCCAGCAAACTCCTGGGGCCTCCGGCTGCTAGGGATGCGGTCTCGGCATCCAGGCCCAGCCGGCTACCAGGTGAGCCTTGGGCCGGGGTCTTCCCCACCCCCGCACCCCGCCCCACCTGCAGAATGGCATCATAATGGTGCCAGCTGCAGGATGAAGTGAGGTGTAGGTGGAAAGTGCTGGCACACGGAGGTGCTCAGTAGATGGGCGGCTACTGTTGCTGTCCCTAAGGCTGCCCCCGGGGTGTTGGCTCGGGCTGGGGGATTGAGCCTGCCCCAGCCAGAGCACCTCCACGGCACGACACGCCCCTTCACACCTGGCTGAACCAGGTAGGCCCAGCCAGTGCAGGAGGAGACAGAAATGAACCTGGGGCAGTGGCCTGCAGTCCAAGATTGCAGACAGCAAAAAACGCAGTGGAAGGAAGGAAGCCACGCCCCCAAGGAGGGAGCCTGCACCTGGCCTAAAACGTGCTCTGTAGGCAAGTCCTGTCCCTTCTTTCTGCCCCTTCTTCTCACCCATAAAGTGGGGAGATTATTTCCTGCCTTGATGATTGTAACAATCTTCATGCCAGCAGCCACATACTGAGGCTTCCCTGTGCTCAAGGGAATGATGGAGAGAAACCAGACCCAGCACCGTCTGCAAGGGTGCGCGGCCGGGGGCGAGGAGGTAGGGGGGCTCCAGCTCTGATAGGGAAGCCCAGGAGCTGTGGCCCTCAAAGAGGGGCAGCTAACCTAGCCTGGGTGGGGCTGGAGGTGGGGAAGGCCCCCAGAGGCTGTGATGTCCCAGCTGGGTTGTGAGTGGGATTGGAGTCAGCCAGACATGGGAGGGGAGGAAAGTGCCGAAGGTCATTGGGTAAATGGCCCACCTCTCTGAGCCCTAACCTCTTCATCTGTAGAATGGCCCATAGATAAGTACCTGCTTTGCCTAATTTATAGGGTGGTTGTGAGGCTTAAAATTGGATAAAGAGCATGGAAGTACTTCTGAACTATAAAATGTCAGGCACCTGTTTGTTGTTGCTTGTTGTGATGTCTGGAGACCCTGGCGATTCAAGAAACACAGGGCCAGCATCCTTCTGGGTCTCAGAGAACATCTGGTCTCTTTTAAAAGGCCTCCAATCAAACCTAACAGGGACATATAGCCTCTGTTCACCTTATACCCCTTGATTTAAGAGCTCAAGACTATTTCTGTAGGGGCGTGTGGCTGTGCTTAGAGGGGGCCCGAGGACGGCCGTAACCCAGTCACAGCCCTGTCCCATTGAAGAGGATGGGTGCCTGCAGAAAGGCAGGCCATACGCATGGGCCGGGCTTCAGGACCTGGGCAGGAGGGGCTAAGAGCTAAGGGACGTGCCAGGGGAAGGGGTGGAAGACGGGAGCGCCGTAAGGTCACTGAGGAGAAATAGTTCTGGGTCAGGGAGGTCCGCGAGGTGACATTACCTGGAAAAGCAAGGCAGAGAACACGGTGTGGGCACTGAGCCTGCTTGGGTTTGAATATGGGAGAAGAATGTATGTCCACACTTGTGAATATGTGAAAATATGCAGACAGACACATCAAGCTGGTTGATTATCACTTTTACTTTTGTCTTTTCTATATTTTGAAATTTTTGCACGCTATTTGACGTTTATTTCTAGAACAAGTTGTCTGCATGTAATGTATGTGACAGTATAATGCAGAGAGTATAAGGGTCTGATGTCAGCAGGCTGGAGGGTTCCAGGAGGCACCCACAGCAGGTGGCCTCGGGTGAGGCCTGGATGGTATCCTCCCTGCTGGCCTTCAGGACAGTTGGGAGCGGGGACCAGGGGTGGCTTGTTGGAGGTGGCACTGAAGGAGAGGTGTCTGGGATAGGTTCCAGGACTCTTCCTGGGACAGAGACGGGGGTTGGAGGTGGCTGGCAGCCCTCTCCGCACGGTGGGCAGACTGTCCACGCAGGACCGCAGGCCCTGGCAGCAGGAGCACGGGGTCAGGTCCAGAAGGGTAAGGGTTCTCCTGGCACTTGGGCCACCCCCTGAGTGGGACTGGGATGGCAGGAACAGGTCCAGAGGGCCCGCTGTCTAGGGCAGGGGCCTTGAAATGCTTCAGGGTCCCACCCCAGTCTGCCGACCCCCGCAGACCCTTCTCTCTCAGTGATGCCCTCTCTTGGTCTTCGGTCCGTGGGGCTCTCACACACCTTCCCGCCTCTTTACAATGGAAGTAAAGAAACTAATCTCCTGTCGTATTTTATTGGATGCAAGGTACCATCTGTTGTGAGATATACCATTGTTTTATAACCCATTAAGAAAGGAAAACAGCAAACTCTAAGTTGCATTTCAGTTTCAGAGATGTTAAATGTCAAAAAACAGGGTCTTGGAATCAATCAGAATGACAAGCAGGAGGGCCCCACCCTGGATTCTTAATGTATATATACTCATCTAATCCTCTGTCAACCTCCTGGCTAGATAGTCTTGTCCTCTGTTTACAGATCAGGAAACAGGGGCCCAGAGAGGTTAAGGGATTTTTGCAGGGTCACACAGCCAGCAAAAGATAAAGCTGGGATTTGAACCCATCCATCACTTTTTCCTCACCCAACCCCACAAAGCAAAGGCTCCTGAGCGCTGGCCCTTCGGAAGAAGACAGCGTTCACATTGCAGAATGAACATAACGCCAGCTCAGAGTTCAGAAATACCCCTGTGGACTGGTCATTAAACGCCCAGGGCTATATGAGTAATGGGGGGAAGGCCTGGAGGGGAGCTGGAAAGATAACGGACCCGAAAGAGCTCAGAGAGCTTCTTGGCTGGTTCATTAACCTCATCCTTGTTAATGATCATTATCAGGACTAGGTTGACCTCCGGCCCACCCTGGAGAGAGACCACAGAGACCTGCCCCACACAGATCAATCACCCTAGAGCCTCACCCAGAAAGGCCCACACATTCATTTCCTACAAAGTTATTTTTCGATTTACTCTTGTGAATGAGACCTTTATTTGCCTATGGGTCCCCGAGTGCCCGTGAAGCCGGGCCTGGTGCTAGGGTTACAGCGCACAGCAGAACAGACATAGGTGTTGCTGTGGTGGAGTCACAGACCAGAGGCAACGGACAGTAATCCTCGGGTCCCACAAAACCTGCAACAGGTGCCTGTAGGGGAAGAGACAGCATCAAAGCTTATAGAGCAGAGAATGTGCCCAGTTCAGGGTCAACTGCAAAAGGCTATTCTAAGTGAAGGACTCTTTTTTTTTTTTTTAATTTATTTGAGAGAGAAAGAGATTGAGAGATCAAGTGGGAGGAGGGGCAGAAGGGAAAGCAGACTTCCTGCTGAGTGGGGAGCCCAATGTGGGACTCGATCCCAGGACTCTGGGATCGTGACTTGAGCCAAAGGCAGACACTTAACTGACTGAGCCACACAGACGCCCCAAAGGAGGGACTTTTGAACTGATATCTGAAAGACCAGTCAGGGGCAAGGGGAGGCTGCTGGACCAAGGAAACAATGCTGAAGCTGACAGACGTGGACCTCTGAGGACTTGAAAGCTCTGAGTATCTCCAGCTCTGATTCCTAGGCAGGTGAGGCCAGAGAGGTGGAGTGGGCCAGACCCTTGGGCTCCTGGAGCAGTGGCTGTGGAGTGACATGCTCAGATGGGCATCTTCTGATAAGATAGGGGCCAAGATGGTAGGTAGGTGAGTGTGTGCAGATGAGAGCAGCTGGTAGCAGTGGGAGGAGAGCTGGGTGATGGTATACAAGGAGTTTTGGTGATGGGTGGCTGGAGGAGGAGGAGGCCACACGGGTGACCGCTGGGATCTGGCTGTGCCGTCACAAGACCTGCCTTGCAGAGGGAAGGGTCCCAGGAAGAGAAGAGCTATAGTGGGAAAGCTGTCACCCCACTGATACTTGTCCTGGTTTGGGTTTTGTCCATTTTTTTCCCAGCCCTCCTTAGGTATCCTGGTTCATCCAGCACCTGACTTTTGGTGGCTGATGGGGAAAGAGGTCAGTGGGTGAAGGTCTCTGGTGAGGATGAGGTGACGGACCTCGTGGGAGGAGAGGAGAGAGGGGCAGATGGGCGGGGATGAGGTAGAGGAGGTGTCTCCCGGGGGCAGAGCTGTGGGCGGGTGTCCCAGATCACTGGACACAAGAAAGCGGCCGATGTCGGTTGGCCCAGACGCCATCCCGGAGCTGGCCTCATGGAGAGGCTGCGTCCAGTCTAGGCAGCGGAGTTGAGGCAGTGCCCAATGGGCGGTCAGCAAGGGGGCGCTTGGATTAGTGACTTTGGAAGCAGGTGGAACGGTTTCACAGGGTGGCAGAGTGCAGGGTGTGGCCAAGGGAAGTGGGTGACTGAGGACAAGGGAAGGAGGGCCTTTGGAGAGGATACGGCCCTTGGACAGGGGGAAACTGAGGCTGGAGAGGATCTGAGATGGGTCCGAGGTCACACAGGGAGATGGGGGCTCTGCTAGTATGGTTTGCCGTGCTACGGGTTCCAGATTGCACGGGGTGCTTCCTTTCCTCGGTCTTCCTTGGGAGATGAGAACCTGATGCTGCAGGGTCTGCACGTGGCCTTGGCAGGGGGCTGTGGCTAGCCAAGGGGTGCACGCGGATGTGTGCGGGAAGACAACGAAGGGGAGCCGTTAAGCTGAACCTTGTCCCAGCAGCGGGGTGTACGGAGTGCTGGAGGGACTTGGCAAGGGAACCAGTGTAAGCCAGGGCTGCTGACGGGGAGCGCACTGAGCCTGTTCTTGCTGTGGCAAACACAGTCCGGTTTGGCTCGGTCCAGGGCGTAGTATCCAGTCCTGGGCAGTCACCAAGGGCGGGGGAGGAGGGAGCAGCCTGGCCCGGCAGAGGGGAGTGTTTTGTCATTTCTGTTGAGAATTGCAGGCAGATCATGATAATAAAAGGTCAGACTTTTAGTCTTATTATTGTTTTTAAGTTCTCTATAGAAAATGCACCCCCACTGGGGCCCCCGGGTAGCTCAGTCATTAAGCGACTGTCTTCGGCTTGAGTTGTGATCCTGGGGTCCTGGGATGGAACCCCTCATTGGGCTCCCTGCTCAGCGGGAAGCCTACTTCTCCCTCTCCCACTCCCCCTGCTTGTGTTCCCTCTCTCGCTGTGTCTCTCTCTGTCAAATAAATAAAATCTTTAAAAAGAAAGGGAGGTATTGTAGAGCTATAGAGAGTATGTTTATAAAAAAATTTTAGGGGCGCCTGGGTGGCTCAGTGGGTTAAAGCCTCTGCCTTTGGCTCAGGTCATGATCCCAGGTTCTGGGATGGAGCCCCGCATCGGGCTCTCTGCTCAGCGGAGAGTCTGTTTCCTCCTATCTCTCTCTGCCTGCTTCTCTGCCTACTTGTGATCTCTGTCTGTCAAATAAATAAATAAAATCTTCAAAAAAAAAAAATTTTTTTAAATTTTTAAAAAAAGAAAGAAAGGGAGGGAGGGAAGAAAATGCACCCCCTTCTTGTCTTCACCCAGCCCTACTGCCCTTGTCCCCCTTTCTCTCCCCCACCTTGCCCCCACCTCTCTCC